ACAATCGAGAGCATCCTGTCATACAGCATCACAGTCTGGTTTGGAGGCATCACTGCTTCAGACAAGAAGGCAGTGCAGAGAGTGGTGAGAATGGCCGAAAAGATCATTGGCAGTTCCCTCCCTCCCATCCAGGACATAGCACAGAAGCGCTGCATGAGCAGGGTCTGTAAGATTATCTGGGACACTACACATCCTCTCCACGACCTGTTTTCCTTGTTACCTTCTGGGAGGGGGGGGCTTCGTGGTATCCGAAGCAGAACATCCAGATTCAGCCAGAGTTTCGTTCCATACAGCATTAACCTTGCTGAGCATAGTTGACTCAGGAATTCTGGGAGTTGAAGTCCATGAGTCATAAAAGAGCCGAGGTTGCCTACCCCTGTTCTAGTCCAACTCCCTGCTCAGGCAGGAAACCCTACAGTATACCATTTCAGACAAATGGTTGTCAATATCTTCTTAAAAAAACTTCCAGTGTTGGAGCACCCAAAACATTTGGAAGCAAGTCGTTCCACAGATTAATTGTTCTGCTAAACTGTCAGGAAATTTCTCTTTAGTTCCAGGTTGTTTCTCACCTTGATTAGTTTTCATCCATTGCTTCTTGTCCTGCCTTCGGGTGCTTTGGAAAATAAGGTGGCCCCCTCTTCTTTGTAGCAACCCCTTAAATACTGGAACACTGTCATCATGTCACCCCTAGTCCTTCTTTTCTTTAAACTAGACATGCCCATACACCCTTTTGTAAGTCACTGTTGTTGCTGTAAATTTGGGTCAGGCAGATTAGGAGTCACGCACAATTAGGAGCCTTTCCTGGGGAATCAGCCTATGAAATGCTGCTGTTTGCCTTGCGTTGAGTGATTTGGGCCCCCGACATAAAAGAGATGTGATGCAAGAAAACAAGCACTCACTCTTTTTAATCATGCTTCCCTGCTTCAGTACAAATATCCAAAGCTACTTTCTGTTGCTGGTCTATGCAGCTTTGTTTTCTGTATTGACCGGCATCGATTGATTCTGCAGCAGAAATATGTCAGTCTTTTTCAGCTGAGGGTCACCTTCCACTAGGGCAGTGTTTCTCAACTTGACAATTTTAAGGCATGTGGACTTCAACTCCCAGAATTCCACAGCCAGCATTGCTGGCTATGGAATTCTGGGAGTTGAAGTCCACATGCCTTAAAATTGTCAAGGTTGAGAAACACTGCACTAGGGGCTGTGTAAGGGAGCACTGGAGTTTAAAGTGAGCAAAGCACCCTTTTCTCCCTAACTGTAAGGGTATGTGGGAATGACCTGGGGTGGTGGGAGGCTACCTAGGGATCAGTCAGATAAGAAAAAGCATAAACTGCAGCTGCAAAATGGGAGAAAGCAGCTCAGAAGGCTACCCACCACCCACCCACCCCAATCCTCAATTTCTCAGGCTATGAAAGAGACAGGAGATTTGTGCTTTCAGACTTGCAAGGTTGATGTCAGCCTTTCCCGGTAAAGCAGGCAGAAAGCTATGATCAGAGGAACAAATTTTACTTTATTGTAAGACTATGTTAACAGAATCTTGCAAGGCTGAAAATACAAATCTCCCACTGTCTCTTTCATAAGCCTGGGAATCTTGGCGGTATCCCCTTCTGAGTTCCTTTCTCTGCTCCTTATGCAGCTGTGGGCTAGGCCGTCTCTTATCTGACTGTTCCCCAGGTAGCCTCCCTTCCTCCCTTTCCCAAGGTCATTCCCACTTTCCCGTGCACTGGTCCGCCTCTTTTCTCTTTCAACTCAGTAAAACTCCAGTGTGAAGTGAAAGCAAGAGGATTCTTTTCAGTCTTCGGCAGCAGTGTTGGAATAATTCCTGGGGGGATAGGGGTAGGGAAGTGTTTGTCACTGTCAAAAATTATATTCTTTCGTGTTTCACTTGATCAGACTTCTCCTAAGTAAATCTGATTAGGGCTGGACTAGAAACCCAGTGGCTTGCAAGATCGCTGGTGTGTAATTATGTTTGATAAAATGCAGTAGGCAATCTTTCCTTCTATCACTGTGCAGGGTTAGAAAACTTCCAAGCTAGAACTTTCTCCTTTGGTTGATGATTGGTGTGATGTGATTGATTATTCTTAAATGGTAGAGGGGGAAAAAAGTAGTTTTAGAAAGGTATTGTGTCACAGAGGAGGCTTTTTAGCAACCTTTGTTTATAAATCTTCCTAGTAAGTTGATGGTAGGAAGCAATTCTGTCTGGCGAACTAATTAGACCACTGGCCTATTTCCTGATTAAAAATAAGCATGGAACTGTTGGATTCTTTGTGCAGGCATTTTCTGCTGCTAATGTGGAAATATCAGCTGCCAGTTGAGTGTGTATGTTGACAAATGACTTTAAAATGTCCTCTCTTCAGTCTTTTTTTAATGTTGCTAGAAACGCTTGTTTTAGCAGCTCTCTTTAGAATGGGAAGAAATCTATGACCGTTATTGATGCAACCGAACTTGCACCGATGGGAGAGGAGAGAAATGGCAGTGTGATTCCAAAAATGACAGTTATCAAGCCCCAGGAATTGGTGTTCTTCCCTCTGGCCTCCATTTCTCCTGCCATGCTCCATTTAGTGCCAGGCAGAATTCTTTTGCATGTAATTTTCTCCTTGCATTTTCCCCTCGTTCCGTTTGATGAAAGTCAGTTTGCTTTTTGAAGTTCCGTAGAAGAAGCGTAGAAGCTCGGTGACATTTGCACAGATAGACCATCGTGTTGCTAAGCTGCTTTAGTGATGAAGGTGACCCACCAGGAGAAGGAGGCTGGGTGGGAGTAACTGCCTTTCTCTGTGGTCTTCTGGCTTCTCTGCTTTACTGCTAGGAACTCGTCTGTGGGCTTCGTCTGTTGAGATACACGTGGCACTAAAAAGGAGTCTTGTTTTTTAAAAATATATATATCTGTCCCTTTATTTTTAATATAAATAACTCAAGGCAGGAATATACCAAATATTCTTCCTTCCTTCTATTTTCCCCACCACGACAATCCTGTGAGGTAGGTTGGGCTGAGAGAGAGTGACTAGCCCAAGTTCACCTATTTGGCTTTCCTGCCTAAGGTGGGACTGGAACTCACCATCTCCTGGTTATTGGCCCAAAGTCACCCATTTGGCTTTCATGTCTAAGGCGAGACTAGAACTTACAATCTTCTGATGATTGGCCCCAAGTCACCCAGCTGGCTTTCATACCTAAAGAGACTAGAACTCACCATTTCCTGGTGATTGGCCCAAAGTCATCCCATTGGCTTTGGAACTAGAACTTACAGTCTCTTGGTTATTAGCTCAATGTGATCCAGCTGGCTTCCATGCCTAAGCAAGGACTAGAACTCACAGTTTCCTGGCTTCTAGGTGAGTGCCTAACCACTACACCAAACTGGCACTTTCTCCTTCCTTTGGTGCAATGGCAGGATTCAGCCAGTTCGCACCATTTCAGCAGAACCGGTAGCTAATTTTTTGTTGCCCAAGCCCAGAATGGACTTCCGGAAGTGGCACCCGCACAGAGAACTGGTTGTTCCCATATTTGAGTCCCACCACTGCTTTGGTGCCTCTGCCTAATCAGTTTCTTCCCTCATAAATTGGGTGGAGAAATTTGAAATTTGTCTCAGTTCTGGCACTACAATAGAATAATGCCATTGTTTTCAGCCTAGTTTATATAGTGCACTCTAGATCACTTGCCTTTAAGAGATGGGATTGATTAAACCCTAAAGGCATAGTGACATTTGCTGTCGAAGAGGTAGAGTGTAAATGTTCTGCCAGTTTGGTGGTGTGTGTTGATTTTTTTAAAAGTTGTTTTAAGAACAAGAGACTCTAATGTGTCTATTTTGCATTCTTTTGCTTTCTTTTTCTCTGTGTGTCTCAACTTTGGCAACTTGAAGATATGCAGAACATCAACTCCCAGAATTGCCTAGTAAGCATGCTTCCCATCATCAACCATGCATGCTGGCTGGGGAATTCTGGGAGTTGAAATCCATACTTTTTAAAGGCACCAAGGTTGAGAAACACTGCTCTCTCTGTGTATTTGCTCCTACCATTTTGGTGGGGAAATCTTGGAGGTGAGCGCATCTTATGACCCTAATTCTAATTTGGCAAAAAAAAAAAAAGTGGGCATTTTTTGTGATTATGGCTTGGGGACATAAGACTTTGTCTTTCATTAAAACCTTGAGAAACACCCCCATTAAAGAATCAATTAAAAGTATGAAAATATTAAAGCATTCATAAGCCCATAAAATTGTCTTGAATAGCAAAATGGAATGTCTTTTCACACTTGTAATGACTCTGGGTTGGAACATGGTACATTTCCTTGATTTAGCAGGGGGAAAAAAGGCAGAAAAAGGAGATGTTCTGCAGCTTTTCTCAGAAAGGCTAGACCAGGGGTAGGCAACCTTGGCTCTTTTATGACTCATGGACTTCAACTCCCAGAATTCCTGAGCCAGCTATGGGCTAGACGCTGGCAGATGAGCAAAGATAGCAGACACTGCTCTTTTCAGATCCCAGATGCTGACATTCAAAAGTCTGGTGGGATCAGCAATAATCCTGCCAGATTTCAGCCATCTCAACAGCAGAATTTGAAGTGATTTCAGTGTAGGATTTTATAACCTTATAAGATTGGATGATCTCATGAAATCCATTGGGGCAATACCATTTTTTCATACGTATGTATATCTTTTGTGATCTTAATGTATACGCCAACTCTCTTTTTTTAAAAACATACCTTGTCAACGTACACACTTGTGTTTTAGAAGTTTTTGCTTGAATTCCTGTTGCTGTCGCTTGAATCCTTACGATCCTTGGGGTAGAAGTCAACTGTCTGAAAAAAAAAGGTAGATGCTGGAAATTTCTGTGCACGGAAAGACAATTCTCCACATCCCCCTCAGGTCTCTTCTCAGATTCCATGCACTTCTGAAATCTCAGTTCAAAATCAGGCATCCAAAATCAGATTTATCTGGCATTTGCCTGCAATTCCTGCTCTCTCTGTTGCTTCACCATGAGCTAATCTCCCTGTTTCTTCCTTCTTGTCTTCTCCAGGGAAGCGATGATGATTCCGTGGATAAGAACAAGTGCTGCACGCTCTGCAATATGTCATTTACCTCGGCGGTGGTGGCTGAGTCACATTATCAAGGGAAAATCCATGCCAAAAGATTAAAACTCTTGCTAGGAGTGCAGCCGACATTAAAAGCTACTGGTAAGTCCAACCATGCTGGTAAGAAATTGAAGCCAATAAGATATCATTACTCTTTGCTACAGCAGCTTTTTAAAAATAACTGTGCTGATTGGGGAAGGAACGTAGGTTTGATACCCTCTGATGAAATTGTGATTATGGCCATCTACTTAGATTATTTTTAGAAGAGAATGGAGAACTTCACGGGCGATCAACCTATCAACAGTTCTCAGCTTTGATGTCTCCATGCTATCACAGAATTACAGAGAGTAGATTTTAAGAACTGGCTACTAGAAGAGAGCTATTGTACTCCCATTTTCCTCCTTATGAACTCCTCAGTGCCTCTGCTTGACCACCATATGACCCAGAAACCTGGCTTAGATAGGCCGTGGTAACCTCAGGATTCTTCTTCTGCTCTTATGAAAACTAAGCTATTTGGAGGGCAATGCTGGTCTGTAACCGTAATAAAAATTAACTGATTGATGTGAAAGGTACCAAACTGGGAAACATGGAATAGATGCCTACTTCTGAAATGTGCATAGAAGGAGGTTCTTCTCCACTACATTCAGTGTTAGACCTCAGGGTCATCCATTAAAACTAAATAGGGAAAGAGCTAGGACAGAGTTTAAAAAGTACTTCTTTCCATCATATAAACTAGGGACTTGTCTAAAATTCTTAGGAATAGAAATAGAAATAGGAGTAGGAGTAGGAGTAGGAGTAAGAATAGAATAGAATAGAATAGAATAGAATAGAATAGAATAGTTGGAAAGAACCTTGGAGGTCATCTAGTCCAACCCCCTGCTCAAGCAGGAAACCCTATACCATTTCAGACAAATGGATGTCCAATTTCTTCTTAACAACTTCCAGTGTTGGAGCATTTACCGCTTCTGAAGGCAGACTGTTCCACTGGTTAATTGTGCTAATTGTCAGAAAATTTCTTCTTAGTTTTGGGTTGCTTCTATCCTTGATTAGTACTCCTCCCAGCATTACTGTGTTGTAGATAATGAGAAACACAGCTTGGCAGATTTTGAGGGCAAGAAAATGAGGAAGGCTTGATCTACATAACCATCCATCAGGTTCTGTCATTCTGAAAGTAACTCCATTTGCTTGAAATGTACTTGTAAGTTTGACACTCCTCCCTCTGGCGATACATAACCTGTTCTGGAATTGCCTTTCACTCCGTGAATGCATTTATATCTCCTTCCAGCATCTCACAGAGTAAAATATCATTTTACTTTTAACTTTGCAGAGATGTTTGGGGGAGGGGAAGAGAGAAATTCTTCTTAAAGAGAAGAAGAATTTCTTCTTTGATTGGTTGGCCTCCTGAATTTTGTCTGATGTTTCAGCCTCCTCCTCCTCTGCTTAGACTATGCAGACACCATTAATTTTCACATTTAAGAAATCAAATGTCAGTAGCAGCTCATTTAGCCATTGGAATGTCAATTGCAACATTTGATGCAACGTTCTTGCATGCAAAGAAGCTACATTTTCCCAATGCTGTGCTCAAAAGCCCAAATAGAAGAATAAAACGACAAGCAGGAGTTGCAATAAAGTACCCTGCATTTTACACTTGCATTTCCTACTTCTAAGGGAAAAATCCCATTATCACAATCAACCTAGGACTAGCGCTGTAAACATGTTGTGTGCCTTATGTTACAGCTGCAAATCTGCAAATCCCATTTGGGGTAAACTAAAAATAGTCATCTTGGTGGGGTAGTTTGGGATAGAAATCCCCCGCCACTAGCCACTTGGTGAGGACTAATGATAGTTGGCGCTAAGATATCCACTGTAATGGAATGTTGTCTGGATTCCCAGAAGAGAGGAAGAATGCATTCCAGAGGAGCAAGAGATAAGTCGGCTCAGATAATTTGTGTGGAAGAAAGAGCGTTAAGACGGCTCCTCCCTAATAGTTCCCAGATGCCTTTGATTGATGTTGAACTCCCAAAAAAACGAAGAAAGACCTGTCAAGACTCTTCTAGGTGGTTTCCTTCATGGTTCCTCACCTATAGAGAGAAATCTTACCTAACTAATGCCCTCTACTTGCACCATAAAATATATATTTTGGAAATCACTAAGAAGGAGCTTGTCTACTACAGCTTCTGAAGAGCTACAATGCTAAATTAACATAGCCATGAATCCAAGGCTTCACTTCTGGAAGGGGCATCTGCTTCGAAGCCCCTTTCCAAGTGTTTGCCCAAACTGAGATTTTTGATATGGTCTAATGAGGAAAGTAGTAGAAGTAAATGAGCAGCACTGTATTAACTCCATTTATTTAATTGATTTTTTATTCCACATGATTAAAATCTAATATTTTAGAAACTCTTCGCAATTGAGAAGTAACCGTTCGTGCTTTTTTTTTTTTGCAAAAGTAAGAATACTATTACTTTCACGCCCCGTCTGGGGTTTTCTTGGGGCATCTGGTTGACCAGTTGGGTGCAAGATGATAAAGTAGATGGTCAGGTGGTCAGCCTTTTGATGGGAAGGGAAAGGAGGTGAGTTGAATCAGGGGAAACAGCCTGCGAAGGAAAGTGGAAGGCGAGCAACGGACGGAGCCCAGTTTTGCTATTCTGTTTTGTTCTTCTGTTTTGTAGGGTGATGGGATTTTTCTGCTTTATAAATGATGTCAAGCCAATGCTTCGTTTATATTGTTGGTGCATTTTCCAGCAGAATAGATAGGTTAGGAAAATGCGCAAGCAGTGTGACTGCCCACCCCTAACCTAGATTGTCAGAATTTAAAAGGAATTTATCACAGGTTTCTATGGAAATAGAGTTGCCAAAACAAACCCCATTATGCAAATGACAACACTGAACAAAGTCTGCAGATGTCAGCCCCACTAAGTAGAGCAGACTAGAGACTCAACTCCACAGGTAGCCTGAAACTGCTCACGTCTGGCAATTGGCTATAATAAGAGAATTTTGCAAGCCTGATTGTTCCTGTATACCTCTTAGGCAGGATGTACATTTTTTTAGCCAGACATTGACTTAGAAGGGTACCTGCGAATGAATGATTTTGAAATTTGTGTTACACGAAGACGGGTCTGTATGAAGAAAAAATAGTGATTTTTTCATTTTGAAAACCCTCCCTGCAGAACTTCACATAAAGAATCACACCAGAGAAGTGTTAAGATTTATTGGGGAAAGTATGTTAATCATTTGAGGATGTGGTATATGTACCAACCGTATTTTAGAAAGATGACACATGAGAACAGATTTTTAAATCTATTTTTAAGAATCTAAATCCATGTCACACTGTGACATTATCCATTACCCAAATCTACACCTTTCACAACTTGATGGAGGTGTAGTGTAACAAAGAAAAAAAAAACCTCCATCTTGGTGAATATCAGTATATATATATATGACATGCTTATGCATTGTTAGCTTAAACATGATTTATGAAATTAACTATTTTCCAGATAGTTGGAGTCTACATATCTTAAAGGTGCCAAGGGCGAGAAACATTGGCCAAAACCAGGGGTAGTCAACCTTGGCTCTTTTATGACATGTGGACTTCAACTCCCAGAATTCCTGAGCCAGCCGTGCTGAGGGGAAAGGGAGAGGTTTCCAAGCTGAGCCATGCTGGCTCAGGAATCCTAGGAGTTGAAGTCCACCAGTCATGAAGAGGCCAAAGTTTCCCTCATGCTGGCTCAGAAATTCTGGGAGTTGAAGTCCCCGAGTCATAAAAGAGCCAAGGTTGCCTACCCCTGGCCTAGACTATTAATTGTTGAGAAACATAAGCTGGAGGATGCCACCAAGCTAATGGCTGACCTCTAGGCTTTCCAAGGAGCTCTTTTTAGCAAACAGGGAAAATGGGTGATAGGATTAGATGAGCTGTTGAACTGATTTAGTCTAGTTCATCTTTTAATGATCCAGTAATCCCTTCTTTCAGGGTGGAGTCAGGATGACCTGGGATCATCCTAGGATCGAACTCATAGCCTCCTGATTGTGAGGCGAGAGCTCCATCTCTCGCTACCCCGTTGCTCAGTCTAGTTCATCTTTTACTCTTTTGTATTTACTTGGGGCTTCGTGCTCAACTGAGGATGTAGGCATTGACCAGGCTGAACCTGGGAGGGTCAACTGCACAATCAGCCTCAAGTCGTCCCATAAGGGATCTAAGTTCAGCCCACCTTGAATTCTTATCTATCACCAATTTGCTTTGACCGTTAATAGTTCAGATTCTGGTGGAGAATGTTAGCGTGCATATATTCATTTGAACTGCCTGGACTTCCTGATTTCCTGTGCTTGACAGAGGGTTTATTATGTATTGATTTATTGAATTCAGTTTAGGTGCTGCCTGATTCCAGCCCTATTGAGTTAGGTAAATGCAGTTTTGGTTCTTGAGGTCAAATAACAACATGAAGTCTCCAGGGTTTTGAGATCTTAAGTAACTAGATGCTGACCTTCCATTTTGTCTGATAAATATGAAAGTAGAATCCTCTTCCTGTTGCACTTCTGGGCCCAGGTCAGGTTTAAACTATCCATGTTAATGTTCTAGACAATTTATAAGCCTTATGATGGAACATGAATTGCCTTAAGACAACTCTGGTCATTTACATCTTAAAGCAGACATGTCAAACACAAGGCCCGGGGGCCGGATGCGGCCCGCGAAGTGGTTTCATGTGGCCCGCGAAGCCATCCTGGAAACAGTGAGGGAACGGCCCCCACTGCCCTGGCCCTGGCCCAGGCTGGTCAGGAACCAATGTACAATTTTGTGGTGGCCATCTATGCTGAAATGCATTCAGACTTAGCTCCACAAGGCCATCCGGAAACAGCAAGGAACCAGCCCCTGCCGTGTCGGCCCCACCCCCTGAGTGCATGCTGGGGAGGTATCACCCTTTATCAGGAATGAAGAAATGCACCATGCCTTGGTGCTTGCCCCGGTCCCACTCCATTCTGCCAGAGACCCTCAGATCTGTCCCACTGATGAATTGTTCTCACTTTCAGGAAATTTCTCCTCAGTTCTAGTTTGGATCTCTCCTTGATTAGTTTCGATCCATTGCTTCTTGTCCTGCCTTCAGATGCTTTGGAGAATAGTTTGACCCCCTCTTCTTTGTGGCAACCCTTCAGATATTGGAACACTGCTATCATGTCACCCCTAGTCCTTCTCTTCATTAAACCCAATTCCTGCAACCGTTCTTCATATGTTTTAGCCTCCAGTCCCCTAATTATCTTTGTTGCTCTTCTCTCCAATCTTTCTAGAATCCTTTCTATCATGGCGACCAAAATATGACGATTAGTTGTTTATTGGAAGCCTTGTTTCTCCATGATTGGATAGGAACCTGGGTGACTCCATTTCTGCTTGCTTTCTTTTGCAGAAACAAACCTGAGTTCTCTTAAGGAGCCACATGTGGAGAGCTCTCCAGCAGTGTCTCCACCCCATCAGAGAAGAGATTCTGACAGGTATTGCCAGCTCTGTGCAGCTTGGTTTAACAACCCAATGATGGCACAGCAACACTATGATGGAAAAAAGCACAAAAAGAATGCAGCCAGGGCTGATCTACTAGAGCAGCTAGGAAAGACATTGGACCTAGGCGAGGTAAGAGGTAAGAGATTTTAGTCTTCTAAAATAATCATCTTCAAAAGTCTTTGGGTAAATGAAAGTGATTGTATTCTTTGAGTGGGCACCCGTCCAAAAATTAAAACCAGGCACAAATTGGTAGCCCTGAGAAGCCATTGAGATGACTCCTTGTGTTAACAGTGGGTTATCATCAGGCCTGTTGAGTGACCTGATCAAAATACAATATGACGTACTTTATGGATTAGTCAATTGGCCATCTCAAACATGAGCACCAGCCACAGTAAAATACAATAAACTTGAGATAAGATACAATGAAGTGAGATAAAATAGAATAAGATATAGAAGGTAAGATAAAAGTGAAGGATGATCAAATTGTATCAAAGGTAAAATTGAAGGATGAGGAGAAGGAGCAGGAAAGAAGGAGAAGGAGGAGGAGGAGGAGGAGGAGAAGAAGAAGAAGAAGAAGAAGAAGAAGAAGAAGAAGAAGAAGAAGAAGAAGAAGAAGAAGAAGAAGAAGAAGAAGAAGAAGAAGAGGAGGAGGAGAACTTTATTAAGTCAATTGATTGTATCTCTCCTTTTTGAGTTGGCCTTTGTAATGAGGAGTGTTGTCTTAATAAGGATGTGCATTCAATTATGAGGACTTGAGGTAAGACTGCTTTTCTCACAATACAGGTAGCCCTTGCCTTCCAACCATAACTGAGCCCAAAATTTCTGTGCCTAAGTGAGACACTTGTTAAGTGAGTTTTGCCCCCTTTTACCATCATAAATATGAACCCGTTGCCAAGTGTTGGAATTTTGATCACGTGACCATGGGGATGCTGCAATGGCCGTAAGTGTGAAGCCATAAGTCCCTTTTTTCAGTACCATTGTAACTCTGAATGCTCACTAAACAAATAGTTGTAAGTGGAGGACTACAGTACCTATGCCAAGGATGACCCTTTGATGGCCTGATTTGGCCTAAACTCAAAATTTCAAAAAAAGCTCTACTCAGACTAGAGTTTGGCTAAATTGTTCATTGCCATTTTCATTTCTGAGCTGTTCTTTCACCTTAATGGAAACCATATTGCTTCTGATTGCACTTTTCTCTCTCAAGGGAGAAAAACCTTTCAGTTTATGATGGAGCGTGACATTCCAGCAGTAATTTTAGCGATAAAAAGAGGCATATGTGAATGAATGTTTAAAGCAGCCCACCGTCACCTTTTCTGCCTCTTGCAAAAACAAACTAACCAAAATCTCGGTTAATTAAGCAAAATTGGAACGTCACACCTATTTCTCCAGGATAAGAGGTGGGGAAGGGAAGTGTCTTCAAAAGAGGTTGAAAGATCACAGCGAACCCTTGTTTTTCATCTCCCTTTTTTCCTTCTTTCTAAATAATACCTTCAACTTCCTACAGTCAAGGACTATTAGCAGATAGCCCATCAAACGTGGAACATTTTATCCATTTATGTTTCACAAAAAGGGATTGAAAATAGAAAGCTTTCCTGGGGCAACATTAAATGTGATGGATTTTTTTTTAAAAAAAAATCCCAGTTCTTTTTTAAATACCCTCATTTCCCAATTCTACACAATATAGATTGCGCTTCTAGATATACCAAAAGCTAAAAAGTTCATCTTTAATGAAGGGTATCCTTCCCTTAAGATCGAGCTCAGATCACAAGTCTTTTACTGATGATATTAAAATCCCTGAGATGAAAGAATTGTCCTTATTTTAACACAGAGCAGCAAATTTAGCTGTAGAACCTCTCACGGCAATATTGTAGATGTTTGAACATCTTTCTTCTTATGGAAATCCCTAATGGATGAGAGATGGTCTCTTTCCTATTTGCAGATTGTCACCAGCAATAGAGTTGCCATCTTGCCACCGAGGTTTGGATCTTGGTGTAAAGGGGGCCATACCTGTGGTCTGGAGAGTAGGAGATCCACGAAGAATCAGGACCACACATTAAATTTCAGATAAAACGATTTATTGCTGATGCCTATACAGAAAATTTAGTCAAGTAACGGTTAGCATTAAATTAGCATTAGGTAAGAGTTAATGTAATTCAAGAGGGGTTGGACTTGGAACCATTTGTGAGAATGTAACAACTCCAGGCTGATTCCTCTCTTGACTCTACCCCCCGTCTCTGCCTGTCCTTCTCCTACAGGCAGTTTGCCCAACCAGCCTCTTTCTCTGCCAAATATTTGCATCAATTATTTCTGCCTGTTCCTTGTTTCCAGTATTCAATCTTCCATTAACCCTCCCACATACACACACACACACACACACACAAACACACACACACACACACTTTTCTTGCTCTCAATCCTCAATTTGCTAGATGTTTTGATGCTGTTTCATTTCCTTTTATTCCTTTAGCTTTTGATTCTTTTTTAAAACATCCCTTTTCTCTTACCTCTTCTTCTCTCCCTGACCTCTCATTTGTATACCCTTATTTTTGTCTTGTTCAGTTGGCTGCCAGGGCCATCCTTGGGGTGTTTCAGCCTGTGATATTGTCACAGAAATCACAATGCTGTGATGTCAACATCACGTTGCCTTCCAGAAGATTAAATAGCAAGTGAGGGAATGAGGCCAGAATGAGAAGGGCAAAAAGGGAGGAATGAAGTGAATAGGCAGGATATTTCTCCGAAGGGGCAGTTTCCTCTTAGCAGTTGCTACTTACTTGGAAGGATTTCAGAAATAATAATAATAACAAAAGGTGGAAATCCTTATTTTAAGAATTGGTCTTTCCATCTTGGTTTTTAATTGAGGAAAGAACGCTCTCACGTTCTCCCAGCTCAGAAAATCTTGTGTTCTGTAAGCACAAGAAGATTACCAGGTGATTCAGCAACACACATTTAATATCTCCCTTAGTCCAAATAACTCCTCTGAGTCCTTTCCCAAAGATTTTCTAACCTGTCAATCCAATGTCTTCATAATCTCTTTTTCCCAGTAGCCAAAGATCTCATGATCAACATCAGCAGTGCAAACACCTCAATTTGTCTGTCTCTCTCTCTCTGTGTGTGTGATCTGAATGTGTTGTGTAAGATTTGTGACTGTGTAAGATCTGTGGCTGTGCAGCTGAATCCCAACCCTTTTTTATGTACCACTGTGTTGATGTTATTTTTCTTCCTTTTTCTTTCACTCATTTCTTTCACTTTTTCAGTGGAACAAGTCACTTGATTACAGTTTATCTAGTTTTAACTTGTCATTTCTATTCTGTGGGTTTAATGGGGTAAAAGATTTAAAATTGGGGGCATTAGCATGCAAACATATCTGCTCATTTATCTGCTGAACTGCTAGGATGGCCTGTTACAGACAATGGCTGGTTGGCACCATCCTGAATCACAGTTGCAGCTCACACTTGCTTTTCTGGTCATGAAAAGCCAACTGTTGTGTATTTGCTCCCAGAATTTGATGTTTTGTGTAGATCGCGGAGGTCAAACTCGCCACATCACATGATGTGTCGCAACGTATCGTGACTTTTTTCACTTTGCCGGAGCTGGGGTGGGTGCGGCCTCTGCACGACACAACTGGCCCCCAGGCCGGCAGTTTGACACCCCTGCTGTAGATCCTTGACTCTGCCCTGCTCACCCCCAAATTTTATTGATCTAGATTGCTTTGTTGTCCTTCTTGACTTCATCTCTGTTCTCTTACGAATTTAGCTAGCCTGTGTGTGTGTGTGTATACATGTGAGAGTCAGTGAGAGAGAGAGAGACCTTAGAGTCAGACTTGACTTTTCACAATACAGGTAAGTCCTCTACTTACAACAGTTCATTTAGCGACCATTCAGAGTTATGACGGCATTGAAAAAAGCAATCCGTGACTATTTTTCACACTTAGGACCATTGCAGCATCTCCATGGCCACGTGATTGGAATTCGGACACTTGGCGAGTGGCTCATGTTTATGACGGTCGCTGTGTCCCAGAGTCATGTGATCACTTTTTGTAACATTCCGACAATGGGGAAGCCAGATTCACTTAACAGCCATGTTACTAACTTAACAACCACAGGGGTTCATTTAAAAACTGTAGCAAGAAAGGTCATCAACTGGGGCAAAACTCACTTAACTAATGTCTCACTTAGCAAGAGAAATTTCTGGGTCAATTGTGCTTGTAAGTTGAGGACTACCTGTATTTTCTTACCTAGAGGAGATCAACCTTGACTGCTCCTTAGAAAGCCAGATCCTGAAGTTGAAACTCAAGTACTTTGGCCACCTAACGAGAAGGAAGGACTCACTGGAGAAGAGCCTGATGCTGAGAAAGATGGAGGGCAAGAGAAGAAGGTGACGACAGAGAATGAGGTGGCTGGATGGAGTTACTGAAGCAGGAGGCGTGAGCTTCAATGGACTCCAGAAGATGGTATAGGACAGGAAGGTCTGGAGGAACGTTGTCCATGGGGTCGCAATGGATCAGACATGACTTTTCAAATAACAACAACAAATTTTCAGAAGTAGTTTGTGTTCTTTTTAGGGCTCAAAGAAAAAAAAACTAGCAGTCCATAATCATCTAGGACGCAAACCAGGACTAGAACTCATGGTCTCCTGGTTTTTAACCTGGTACCCATGACACCAAACTGCCTCTCAGCTTGTCCTTCGTACTCCTACAAGAGCCATGCCCTTCCCTTCATTCCTTATTCTGTCTTGGAATCAAAGCACAGATGTGCTTATGAAAAATAAATCTGCGGCTGGAGGGAAACTTAAGTCTGGAAAGAGCAAATGGGATCCTGCAGCATAAATCTAAGGGCCAACTAATGAATTTTAAAATTATTCTCAGGATCAACACCGAAGCTCTCCGAACCAACCCGTGGAGTAAGAAAAAGGGCTGGTCATTGGGCCATTACAGATCTACTTGGATGGATTTGTTATTGTGATGAAGATACAAGGCAAATGTGCTTTATGCTTGCAGATAAGCTGCGGATTTAAAGGTTAAAAATTCAAGGCTTTGCTTATCAGCAGATGGGCTTTTATGCAAGCCTATAGGAAAAGAAAGCACTGGGACTTAAAGAAATACTACTATATGTACTGTACTTGCAGATCAG